ACAAAAGGCAGGAAAATAATAAAAGACAAAAATAGGAGAAGCACAAAAAACAGGAAACAGTAACAGCTGTGACAGATCTTAACACAGCATAACAAGAGTCACTGTGGATGCCAACGGTCTCCATGCACCATTGAGACTGTCAGGAGGGACCAAAAATAAAACTCTGCAAATCCAGCAAGGTGGTGGTGGCACATACCTTAAGTCCCAGTATCCTAGAGGCAGAGGCAGGTGGATCTCTTTGAGTTGAAGGCCAGCCTGGTCTACAGAGTGGATCCAAGAGTCAGGGCTACACAGAGAAACTGAGTCTCAAAAAAAAAAAAAAAAAAAAACAACAAACAAGCAAAACAACAACAAAAACCCCACAAAACTCTGCAAATCCTATCAGCCTGAGAGGTCTGAAACATAGTTATTCCTAAAGAAATCAAGAGGCTTAGCTTTCTTTAGCACCCCCCCACACACACTGTAGTATGGCATTGAAAAAAAAAAAAACCACCAACTGATAAAATCACCCTGTGAAAGGCTTACTGATGGGCTGGAGAGATGGCTCAGCAGTTAAGAGCACTTCCAGAAATCCTGAGTTCAATTCCCAGCAACTACATGGTGGCTCACAACCATCTGTAATGAGATCCAATGCCCTCTTCTGGTGTGTCTGAAGACAGCAACAGTGTACATGAGTACATTGTACATGAGCACATTGTACATAAGTACATAAAATAAATAAATGTTTTCTTTAAAAAAGGAAAAAAAAAAAGAAAGGCTTACTGACATAGGAAGTGTTTTCTACCAGGAAAAACGAATAAAATCATTTGGTAACTACATATGAAATGCTGACCCCTTATGTGTGTAAGGAGATATAGAATTCCTAATATGAAATAGAACCTCTATATGCAAATGTAGTACCTTCCATAAGATCACAATGGGAAATGTGATCTAGAATCTGGTCATGTGATGTGTTTAGCAATGAATTCAATTAGAAATGTAAATATCAGAAGTCAAGCTAAGTCCAGAAAACGTAAAATAATATTTGGAGAGTTTGTTTGAGATTGGTTTACTTGCTATCAATATCTCGGTCTGTTTTTACATTTTGAACAATTCTTAATAAGAAAAAACAGCCTGTTCTTCCTTTTCAGTCTCCAAATCATCTGGGATGGTCCATTATGCCAATATTGAGACGGGTTCCCACTCCAGGAAATGACATGATGGATGTCCCACCATCAGGCACAGGCAGGAGCTCAAAGCCACCTAAGAAACAAATAAATCTTGCCAGGATCAGGAACAACATTATATGCACAGCTGGAAAGCATAGATGGACAGACTGACTGAGTGCACAGGAAATATGGAGGAACTGGCTTTGCAGCCTACTGCATTCACAAAAAGAAACATTATCTCCAAAAAACAGAAGTAAAAAGAGAAAATGTCCATTGTTTCAATCCTGTACCTTAATTTCTATAATAAAAATATGTTCTTGTGTTTTATGTTTCAAAAGGAAATGTAAATGCCAACAGCCATGACAGCATCCTTTGAGCAGAAAGAATATGTCGCACCCTGAAAAATGGCCCCCAAACCTTTCTCAGACAACGTGCTGATACCATATGCACATATAGCGGGCTCAGCTACTGGCCGGTCATGTCTCTCGGAGACAAACATATTTTTCTCCTACAGAGTTACATTCCCACATCAATCTCGATTTGGCTTGCTCTTGCTTCCTGTTCAGCACTGTTCAGTTTGTCAGTTTAATTCTGTGCCGCTTTATAGATATCCACAATAATTACAGCATTTAGCTCTGTACCTTAAGGGGCAGATAACCGGAGCAGTTTAAATGCATATGTTCCAGCCAGCCTTTGACTCCCACCTCCACGTCCACGCCAACTCCCCACACGCACACAAACATATATTCTGGCTGGCATCGTATGTTTCATCTTACTGGCTCTTTTCCCATTACCTTGCACGTTATGTCTAACAATGACATTGTTATTGATGCTACAGTAAATAACTAATATATGTAATAAAATATATACGCTACGATGAATCAAAGTCACATACCCACACGCCAAACTCCCTCTGCTTCTTCTAATCAGATAATGTTTTTTTTTCTTCTCACTGTGTATTATTATAACTAGAGAGAGTAGCCTCGGAGAAAACATATTTGTAAAAATGGGGAAAAGGAAAAATAAAGGTTTGGGCCACTGAGATTAGAAATGAAGTTTCCAAAAGATGTATGTCAAATAGTATGTTAATTCATCACTTGTATACATATTGCACCTGATCAGACATTTGGGGAAACATAGAATCCCATTCCGCCAGGGCGAAGGGAAGGGCTGAAATAGAACCACAAAGTAGATTTCCTATGATTTATTTTGTGAGGAAAGGCATTTGTTTTCTCTCTCTCTCTCTCTCTCTCTCTCTCTCTCTCTCTCTCTCTCTCTTTCTCTCTCCCCCCTTTTTATTGTAGTTACTGTTGATCTTATACAAGAAAGCTAAAACCTCACTATGAGAAAACATTTGGTATAAAAAACAAAATGAAAGATAAAAAATACTTTTAAACATTCCATATCTTATTAGAAACATGTTGAAGTTTTATATTTCTTTCTGTATGTCTGTGTGTCTGTGTGTGTGCACACGCGCATGCACACTGGTCCTATGTAAGACATGTATTTGTGTGTGAAGCTAAGCATGCATGTACACGCACACACGTGCAGAGGCAAGGCTGACATGGACCGTGTCTCCTAACTGCTCTCCACCTTTATTTGTGGAGACACACTCCCTTCTTGAGCCTGAAGTTCATGGATTCCAGCTAGGCTGGCCAGCCAATGAAGAGATCTGCCAGTTCCACTCCCAAGCCTGTCTCCATTCCCACAAAAGTTTCAGGTGACAAATCCATATGTCCATATCTGATGGTCTGAACTCAGACGCTCACACTTGCCCATCATACGTTTCACCCACTGAACCATCTCCTCGGCTCCTGATTTCAATTTTGAAATGTTTCCATTATGTGTCATTTGAACACAATATAAAACAGGTGGAGGGGTCTAACGGCTAGAGATCTTTCTGGGCATGTACCAAGCATCACAGTGAAAGTAAGTGCCCAAGAAACAAAGGACAGATACAATAAATAATAGAAAAGCAGATGTAATCAGAATGTTACAGCAAGAATAAAATTTACATTTACAAGGTAAATACAAAATCTGGAAATTTTATGTACATTTATTTCTCAAAATCCAGAGTATATCAATTATGAAATACAAAACAATTTACTTGCTTTTCTGAGCTGTTTCCTTACTTGTAAAATGAGCATGTCACCTGTAGCTAATTTACTCAAGATTCTTATAAACAGAGCCTACACACTGCAGATGTCTGTCAGGTATTAGTGTTCATCAGTACGGACTCCAAAACTGATCAGTACGGACTCCGAAACTGATGTCTGCCCTGTGTTTCCTATGAAATTACTTAACTAGACGTGGCAGAAGTAACGTTGGAACTTGGATGCTCTGACATTTTCAAACATGGATTTTTCCCATTAAAATCAGTTTATTTGCATCCTGGAGAAACTAATTTCAAATGAGAAAATGAGATAACAACAACAACAACAAAAAAAAAACCTGAAAAAAATGGTCTAGATTAAAAAAAACGAGAACTCCAAGTGAGTGCTTATGCACATGAACACACAAGTGAGCACACACACATCCCACATGAGTGTCTGTACACATGAACACACAAGTGAGCACACACAAATCCCACATGAGTGTCTGTACACATGAACACACAAGTGAGCACACAC